ATAAGCTCAGATCTCTGATAGATTCAGAAAATGTAATGAATTTGCTGGTTATTAGATTTAATTTGTTCTTGTAAAAGTGGGAGTGCTGGGTTGAACTGAGTCTTCCCTTGGGCAGCTGTCTGCTACAGTAATCCAGCCCTGGAGTTCTTATAGGTGAAAGTGTTTGGTTATGGAATGGGAATAAATAGCGATACTTTGAAATCACAACTAATATGATGGGTAAGAATTAGCTTGTGTTATACTGGTCTGTATCAATTTAGCTCCTGTAAGTTTCCATATTAGCTGGCTACAGTGAACTTAGGGCAACTCATTGGCATAAAGTCCTTCAGTAATGACTTATGTGATTGTTTTAGGTGCATCCTACAGATATAGATACAAAGGTTAGGGCTTGCATTTTCTATAGTAAAAATGCTGAGGTAGAGAAAATAAGGAAGGAGCTACATTTTTCTTTATTATGCCATTACTAAAATGCTTAGAATGCACTTCTTAGTCATGAGAGTAGAGGAACTTCTGACTAACCAGCTTTGTACCCAAAATACCCATGTGAAAACTCTGGACTCCAATCCCTAGTGTCTGCCCAGACTTTCCACATACCTGCACATTGCACAAGAATTTCACAACAGTGTGATGGGTGAGGGAACAAATGAGTAACTGCCATTACTTCTTTGTGCTATTTTCCTCTAATGAGTCTCATTCCAGAAAATAATGTGCATCAGTTAGTTGATTTTATACACACACACACACACACACAAACACACATACATATACTGGATATTTTATATATATATATATAATATCCAGTATATTTATATATTCAGTATGTGTAATGCAAAGAACAAGAGGGAAGTTTCCGGTTCTGGCCACAGAACTGGAGCTTATATCTGATGAAATATCCTACAAAGAGATAATTATAAATTACAAATGTAGGAAAAATTCATAAAATGAGACTTCCAAGATGGTGGGCCAAAGGGAGGCAGCATTCTGTGTCAATCCATGACCCAGATCTCACCTAGTCAGAATACTGCATCTCAGAGAGTATAAGAGGACTCCTTCCTATACAACTGATTTTCACAGGAATCACCAGCGCTGTGACCCCCGCGCAAGGCTCAGAGCCTCAGTGTTCGAACAGGACTCCGACCCCCGGGGCTGGAAACCAAAAACCCACAGTTCTAGCCCACGCACGGCTCTCAAGCAGCTTAGGAGAATCACCTATCAGCACCTCTGCAGAACTGTGCTCCACACCCACACAGGCCACTCTGCTACTACTACACACAGCACAATGCCATCACCTGGCTCCCCCCACCTCACCAGACACTCTGGTGCTAGAAGCAGACCGACTCCATCTTGGATAACCTTTCTCGCCATATTTGTTGGGGGCAGCTCTCAGATTGGATCTCCATCTGGCCAGGTACCTGGTATCCAGCTCCCTCCTCCCCCCAGTTGTGATAACTCAGCACAGTGACCACTCAACACAAAAAAGCTCCTAGCTGGGCAGGTGTGCAGTGTGACCAAGGCACTGCCCACCTGGTGTGAGCCTAGGGGTGAGAGGTCCTGCAGGTGGGAACTGCTAATTGAGAGGGGATGAGACTGAAGTTTGGAGTCTAACAGAGAGACCAGGAGCTGGGAAATCTCCAGGCAAGAGAGGGAGAAAATACCGGATGTTCAAGTCAGACTACCAGTACCAAAAAGAGACCCTTGAGGTGTAGTCTCCCTGCAGAGACTGGCAGGAGGTGGCACTCCCCACTTCCAGATGCCCTACACCAGGACCAGTCTTCCCACCCCGGTTACCTACACACCATCCTGAGGCAGAGATACATCTTAAAACAGACAACCCCACCTATTGGATGAGGAAAAAAGAAAAGTTACAAATCTCTAAAACTAGCAACAACCTTGGTTTCTTCTTTCGAGTTTTTTTTTCCTCTTTCTCTTCTACCTCTCTATTCTCCAGCCCTCACATCACCAACATATATAAAACCAAGAACTTTGCATGAAATAGGATTTTGAGAACCGAGTCACCTGAATAATATAATATAGAGGTGTTGTATATGCCATTTTTCCTATTTTTTCTTGTTTTATTTTATTCCCCCTCCAAATTTTACTATTTTAACATTCTGCATTTTTATAAATACATATGTGTGTTGTTTCAAGTACTCCACTGTCTTCCCATGTATTGTCTAACCTAATTTACTTCCTGTCTATTCTTTTGCTACTAACCCTCTTCATTAGAATTCTTTCACACTTCCTAAGACATATTATCTAGGAAGATATATCCACCAACAGAAACTGTAAACCTTTTTATGAAACTACTGTTTATATCTTAGATGAAAATTGAATCCAACATTTCTGGACATTGAGACTAAACTGTAAATGTCTTAATAACAACAAGTTATTCATAGGTGATATATTGTTGATATTGGGATCTGTTAACATTGTCCTTCCCCACAAAGGAGAGGTCTTAGATCCCTACAAGAGCACTACAAACCTATAAGGTAAAAACACCAACAATCTAGACCCACAGAGCTGGAAAGGAAGACACATGAGCAACACAAAAAGAAAAGGAAGAAAGTACCACAAACAAATCAAGAAACCAATCATTAGAATCATTGGCAGCCACAGCAGAAAAAAAATGACAAAGAAAGAATTCAAGATATACATGATTAAAATGTTCTGTGAACTAAAGGAAGATATAAGAGAGCAAATAAATACAAGCAGTGAAAGATCACTTCGACAAGGAGCTACATAAACAAATCCAAGAAGCAAAAGATCACCTCAACAGGGAGATAGAGGTTCTAAAAACAAAACAAAACAAACAAACAAAAACTGAAATCCTTGAAATGAAAGAAACAATAAACCAAATTAAAAACTCAAATGAAAGCATTACCAACAGAGTAGACCGCTTGGAAGATAGGACATCAGACAATGAAGATAAAATATATAATCTTGAAAAGAACATAGACCACACAGTGATAATGATAAGAAACCATGAGTAGAACATTCAAGAAATATGGGATAGCATAAAAAGACCAAATTTAAGAGTATGGGATAGAGGAAGGCATAGAGGTCCAAAACAAAGGAATAAACAATTAAATAATATCAGAAAACTTTCCAAACATGAAGAATATATTGGAAACCCAAATTCAAGAAGCCTACAGGATGCCAAATGTTCAAAATCACAACAATCCACACCAACGCACATTATACTAAAAATGCCCAATGTACAGAATAAGAAGAGAATTTTAAAAGCCACAAGAGAAAGGAATCAGATTACATATAGGGGAAAAACAATTAGGATAACAGCAGATTTTTCAACCCAGGCCCTGAAAACTAGAAGATCCTGGAATAACATACACCAAGCTCTGAAAGAAAATGGGTGCCAAATCTTATATCCAGAAAAATTGTTTTATATTTTAAGATGAAATAAAAACTTTCCATGATAATCAAAAGTTAAAATAATTTATAGCTAGAAAACCAGCACTACAAAATATCCTTGGCAAAACATTCCACAAAGAGGAAACGAAAAACAATGAAAATAGGCAGAGGGAGGTAGTAACCTAAAGGAAAAATTAATCAAGGAACAAAATCAAGTCAAGTTAAATAACAAAAATAAACAAATATGGCTGGAAATACAAACCATGTCTCAAAAATAATCATAAATGTTAATGGCATAAACTACTAACTACTAAAGACATAGGCTAGCAGATTGGATTTTTTAAAAAAGACTCAACAATATGCTGCCTACAGGAGACTCATCTGATATGAAAAGACACACACAGACTAAAGGTGAAAGTTTAGGAAAAATCACACCACTCACATGGACTGCAGAAGCAAGCAGGAGTGTCCATATTCATATTAAATAAAATAGACTTCAAGCCAAAGTTAATTAAAAGGGATAAAGATGGACACTACATACTGCTCAAGGGAACCATACACCAACAAGACATAACAATTATAAATATATATGTCCCAAACAATGGTGCAGCTATGTTCATCAAACAGAGTAAGATATACTAACAAAAATTAAGAAAGATTTACTAACAAAAAATCAAGAAACATTAAAAAATAATCATTGCTCATTTCCCATCTTCACTTTCATACTGATCAAGAATACTAAGAATGTTGAGTCAAATTAACAGAACACAAACCTGGATGATCTTAGGAACTCCTTCTCTCCTTTTGGAAGCTTAGCTAAGTGGGTCATATTGATAGAGACTGTCTATAGAAAGACAGCAAGGCTGATCTTAGTTTTTCTAGCCTACAGAGCTGGTCACAGAGCCCTCACATACAGACCTTTTCCATAAGTATGAAAGTTCCCAGTGTGGCTTCTAGGCCCAAGATCCCTTATTATGTCTCTTGAAATTTAGAGAAACAAGGCATTCTAAAGCTCCCCATAGGCTATAGCTATGCAGCAGTGTGAAGGATGTTTTGTGCTCTCTCACTGTAGTTGGGAGTCACGTTTTGTGTGCATTCAGTCTCCTAGTCAAGCCAATCCTTCTACTGGGATCTTGCCCATGATGCAGACAGAACACTTAAACTAGTCCATTACTTTGGATTAGAGAATATTTTGTGAACTGCATCTTTTCTATTATGTTTCTGCTTAAAAATAAATTCTACTTATAGCCATACTATGTGGAGCTAATAATTTGTGGACTTTTGTGTGATAATAATAATAATAATATACAAACACAATTTCAAAAAATACTTTATAGTCAGGTGCAGTGTTGCACACCTGTAATCCCAGCTTCTTGGAGTCAAAAGTAGGTGGGTCACAAGTTCAAGGCTAACCTGAGCAGCTTAGCCTAACCCTGTCTCAAAATAAAAATAAATAAATAAATAAAAAGGGTTAGGTATGTTACTCATTGATAGAGTACCCCTGGGTTTAATCGGCAGTTCTGAAAGAAAATAAAGCCAAACTTTATTTAGTTGGTAAATATATAGAAATAAGAAAAAGGAAGACATATGAGGAAGAAAGATGTTTCCTCTTTCAACAGCTCTCTCTTTCGTCTGAGGTCAGAGACAAACTTGTATGCAGACATAGAGAGACTGGTACAGTAAGTTTATGATCAGAAGCTTAAGCTTGTAAATTTAAGCCTCAGTTTAGAAGTTTAGTTACAGATCTTACTTAGCATTCAAGGATTAGCTGTCCCGCACCTTTTTTATAAACACTTTCTCAAATTTTCCTTGAATATTCACCAATGTCTGAAGAAATTACTTATGCAAATCTAAAATTCCAGGACTCCAATAAGACAGAAAATACCCAGGATCTTCAAAAATTTGGGGAAAAAGGTAAGATTTTCAGCTATGGATGTGTTGTAAGGTGGCAGAAGTGGTTATACTTCCCACTTCAGGTATGAGTGCATGGATAATGATATTGGTATCATTCAATCTGAATTTTTAATCAAGTCTCCCATTTTTACCAAATGTATCAAAAGTAGCCAAATTAACTGACTATAGGGTTTTTCTTTTTCTAAAATCAGTGATGTATACACTGAACATTCTTAATCTTTTACAAGTCTACTTTTTAATGTTATACTCAAGATACATAAAAAAAAGATATTTTCTAATGGCTGGGTTGTCTAAAGTGTTTTTCCCTTCATTAGATAAAGCTGTGGAACAAGGAGAATATTTTGCTCATAAAAGTCATAGATTTTTATGTTTCTTTTTTAAAGGAACATGATTGCATGTATGTGTTCAAAAGAGAAAGAAATAATTTTTGTTTTTGAAAGTATTATCTTTGGTCCTTGACTCCCAATTCATCTCTAATTTCCTTTCAACCAGCTTTTTGAGGCTTCTTTTCTTACCGTCTCATGGAAACTGTTCTTGTCTAGGTCACTGATGGCCTCCCTGTTTCCTCCCAATAGTCATGTCTTTATTATTTGTTGCTTCACTTCCCTGCATAATTTACAGAGTTGAACATTCCTTCTTTTGCAAATATTTTCTCTGCACATTCTTCTGGATGTGGTTTCTGATATCACAGGCACTGCTGTTTCTGCTTTTCCCCTGCCTCTGGATCAATGTTTATTCGATGGAGTACCCCAGGGCTGTGTTCTGGGTCCCCTTTTCTTATATCACTCAATATGCTCTTGTAAGTTGCTTCATTCTGTCATTTGGTTTCAAAAACAATGACTTCCACATATATTCTTAGGACTTTCCCCAGGATCTCAAGACTAGAAAATCTCAAGACTGCTTCTCAATTTTAAATGAAGTTCTTTTATTTATTTATTTATTTATTTATTTTTACTTCCTTGAATAAATATCATTTTTCACATTGACCAGAACACTACAGCCACTCTATTTCTGTTTTTCAAATAGAAAGCTTTCCCCCAAATTAGGGTTGTTGAACTAGACATTTTTGCTGTATGCAGTTCTATTCCCACTAACTTTGTATGCTGATTCCCACTTTCCACAAGTTCTAAACTACTTACTTTCTAAATCATAACTCAGCTTCAAATTTCTGTACACTATAGTCCAATGTGAGATTTATCTATCCATCTATTCATTTGGTTCCTCTCATAATAAAATATGTCTCCATGAGAACAGAGACTTGCAAGTCTTGTCACTTCTGTATCAGTGGCAATCACAATAGTGTCTAGCAAATACAATGTACCCAATGATAGCTTTCAAATAATGGAGTGCATAGACAAATTAGAAAATAATTTTTACAAAAGTTAGCACTTAAATTTGTAATTCTAACTTTAGGTATGATCCTGACCATGTAGTTCTTTTTGTAATAACAATTTTCTAATGTCTAAAGGAATTAAGTTTTACATTTTATTTTCAATTCTCTTTGGATTTCACATTTTTGCACTATCAACTAACTGGGATGTTAAGATATATTTCACAAACATAGTAAGATTATGACATTATCCTTGAATTGTATTTTCTTTAAATAGCTAGTCTTCGCATATACATATGATGACAAATTTAAATAACATAGCTACTTAATGATAATTTACAATATAAATTTCATGATTTTTGTAGGGAAATGATCTATTCTGGGCTTTACTACTCAGTAAAGAAAGAAAAGAAGCATTCGGTAAAAGTTTTTTGCTAAAAAAATTTTTTTAAAAATTGAAAATTCTGATCAGTAAATGGTATAGATCTAAACTAAGGAAGGCATGGAGCCAATGAGGATGTTGAAAATATTGGGGGTCCTGGGTACCCCAGGAGCTAAAATAAACATTCGGAGATTGATTAGCTCTGTTGACAAGGCAAGAATTTTACTTTCATGGTGCATATGGGTGCACAACAATGAAAACTGAAAGGCAGGTGCAATGAATAGGCAATCTGCTAGGCTTTTATCCCTGATGCAAGGGCACTGGGTTGTTGCCCATTAGTCAGGGCTAACCACACAATCTTTGGCTTGGACAGCCATTAAGGAAAGTGAGTACTTGACAGCTACCCATTGGTCAGCTGAATTCACTATTTCCTATTGGGATATTTAAAGAGATGCATCCTTTAGTTGTCCCCCACCTCCCTTTGTTTCCTTGTTGTGGGAAAGTCCCCCTGGGTTGAGCGATTTCTGTCACCTGCCCAGTTTATCTCTGTTGGTCTGGTGGGTCCCTTCCTTCTCACTGCCTTTTGTCAAGGGTCTGTGAATTTTTACACTCACCTGTTAACTGCTTGTAACTTTCCATTCTGCTCTACCCTCCAGCTGCCTTTTTTAGAACCCAAGTCATTTTACATTTAAAACTAAATACGTGACTGTATGACCAATGTGATTCTGCAACTTGTACACTCAGAAAAATGAGAAATTATACCCCATCTGATTCAAATGTATGATACGTCAAGATCATTGTACTGTCATGTGTAACTAATTAAAACAAACAAACAAACCTAAATACTGCATTTTGAAAATGGACCACCGGTATTTTCTATTTCTCATAAGAGAATACCTGGACATATTACAAAGAAACAGCCTACCTTGTTATGTTCTGCAACCAAACTAGGGGTTACATGGGGAATACATAAACAACTAAAAGTATTTCCTTTGATAAGCTGCAAACTATGCCTTAAAGAAAGGTTACTCAGATTGACTTCTCTGCTATTTGCCAGCTACTCATTTTCCCCCAAATTTATACACAAGATGCACAGTGTCAAGATTAACTGCTTTCTCTTCTTTCTTTTATAAACCTCATCTTTGCCTTTTGGTTTCTTGAATCACTCTAAAAGTTTACCTCTTCACTTATGAGAACCATTTTGCATGACAAACAACAAACTAACGCTTCTGACTTATTCTTGATTTACAATTGAAAAAAAATGTTTTAAAGTCCATGAGTTTTTAGCAAATCACATTCCCTTCCAAGGTACATATTAGGAAACAAATAAAGGCAGAATGAATTAACAAATGAATGAATCAAATTTTGTTGTTTTCTACAGCACCTTCTGTTCCTTCCCCTCTGTGGCGTCAATCAGCCTTGATCCTGACTCTCCTCTGCCTTCTGCTGCTCATTGGACTAGGAGCCTTGGGAGGCATATGTATGTATTAACACTGTCCTGACTGAAAGGAAAGGCATCTAAATGTTATGAATTTTACAGCCTAAGTTTGTTCTTTGAATTAAGGGCTTGTAATAATAAGAGGTGTGTGCCCACAAATGAACCTTAACGTGGTTTATAGAATTTTAAATATTACTTTTGCAAAACAAAAGAAAAAACAGTAAAAAATCTAAGTTAAACAAAACAAACAAGAATTTATAAAGGTGATAATTCTATCAAGGATTTACAATGTTTTATCATCTCTCTCTCTCTCTCCTTTCTCCTTTTTTTTTCAACTGGAGTTTATAAAACTTTGAAGTTAGAAATGGAAAAACTGAATAAACTGCAAAATATCAAAGAAGAACTTCAGAGAAATGTTTCCCTACAACTCATGGATAACAACAGAAGCTCAGAAAATATCAGGAACCTCTCTATCACACTGCAAATAGTAGCCACCAAATTGTGCCATGAGCTATATAGAAAAGAACCAGGTAACCTTGTGTTGCTTTCAGAGTTACTAGCCATTAAAGTCACTTAAGAATAATTATAATAAACCTTAATAAATAAATAGAATAAACCTTAAAGTCACTTAAGAATAATTTTATCACTAACCATTGTTTAAAGAAAGGAATTAAATTTAGTTGATGAAATTCTCATTGATATTTTCATGCAATTAGAAGAAAAAATAATCATAACTATAAGCTGCCAAATTATTAAGGAATGACATTTATGTAATAAAACAGACAATATGTAATTTCTGTAATCTGCTATTACTATTATTTTAGGCTCTGTGGTCATTAGACAACAGGAAAGGAAGTACATCTTTTTGAATTACCTCATTCCAAATTGCAGTAAATGATGAAAGGCCATAGAAAAGAGACGCACTATTAGTGCTACATTGGGAAATTGGTGTTATAATATTTCTATAAATTTGTATAGGTTTTTTTGTTTGTTTGTTTTAGTTCCTTGTGCCTCTGAGTAGTCTCTCCAATAGTGAACAAGTCAGAGAGCTACAGGTGCACTAGTTGGAGAAGGGAGGATTTCTACAGGTGTGTGTGTGTGTGTGTGTGTGTGTGAAACTAATTCTGACCATACAGAATATTTTCTGTGGTTTGTTTTTACTGCCATAAGTAAATATGAGAAATGATGAAAATTATCCAGGTCTCCTGATACAGTAAGGCACACTTGAATCTAAGTTCTTACTTTAAAATTTTTGTTCAAATTATGTGTCAGACACATTTTTTTTGTGATATGTAAGAATGTAACATACAAGATTCATTTTGTTTCTCTTCCTTTCACCTAAAAAGAAGAAACACTGTAAATTTGTTCATTGTCACATAAAGTATGGACATAATAACAAAGAGTATTCACAAAAAAAAAAAAAAAAAAAACAAATAAAACTATTTCTTCTTCCAGAGCACAAATGTAAACCTTGTCCAAAGGGATGGATATGGTATGGGGATAGCTGTTACATCAGACTCAAGCATTTTGAAACATGGCAAAACAGCGAAATTTTCTGTTCTGCTCAGAATGCCAGTCTGCTGCAAGTTAGGAACCAAAAAAAATCGGTAAGACTCCCCAAGTCTCTCAGCCTGTGAGAAAGGAAATCTCTTCTCCTATTATAAAATAGGAGTGGGGTATGTTGGGAAAATCAGTATCAACCCATTCATGATTCTTGCTTATTCTAGTCGAAGTGCAAGGTGATTGAGACTTTGTATATTTTTCTCAGGGAATCACAGCCAAGGTAAAACACACAAAACCTTAGCTTAGGATCTTAGAATCAATAGAATCTTAGAAATTTATGGGTAGAAGAATAGATCAGGGGTACCCAGAATCTTCAGGCCTGTGACCATTACCAAGTTGGAACTCTGGAATCAGGCCACATTTATCTGAAAACACAGGACCTAGAAATCATTCCTGAGAATTACCAATTTCATAAAAAGTATGTAAGAGGATATTTCTTGTTTCTACCTTGTTGTATTTTTTCATTAAAGGAAAAAAGTTTGGCTAACTATGCTATCACAAAACATATATAAATAAGTAGAAATTGAATGGTATGACAAGGGCAAGTACCAAGCAAATCTGCTGAACTGAGTTATGGGACCCAGAATAAGTGTTTTCTCTGTGATTTATTTATTTTCTGATTTACTTTTGTCCAGGCCTAAAATTTTTTCAATATTTCACTTACTATTTCTGGTCCCTCAGTAATCATATGTTTCTCAGCAAAATTACATTTTCTAAGCATATCAGCTTCTTTATTGTAAGGCAATTTGTCATTCTTTACAGAAGAGGGGATATCAATCATAATTTCTTTCTCATTAAATTATTCTTAGATAACCCATTCATACATTTTTACTCAAGGAAAAATTTCAAGTCAGGAATATGAAAGGACACATTGTTTTTTTGTTGTTTTTTTATTGGTTGTTCAAAACATTACAAAGCTCATGATATATCATCTTTCATACATTTGACTCAATTGGGTTATGAACTCCCATTTTTACCCCAAATACAAATTGCAGAATCACATCGGTTACACACTCACATTTTTACATAATGGCATATTAGTGACTGTTGTATTCTGCTACCTTTCCTATCCCCTACTATCCCCCCTCCCCTCCCCTCCCATCCTCCCTCTCTACCTCATCTGCTGTTGTTCAATTCTCTCCCTTGTTTCCCACCCTCTTTCCCCTCACAACCTCTTATATGTAATTTTGTGTAACATTGAGGGTCTCCTACCATTTCCATATGCTTTCCCTTCTCTCTCCCTTTCTCTCCCCCCACTCGTCTTTGTTTAATGTTAATCTTTTCCTCATGCTCTTCCTCCCTGTTCTGTTCTTAGTTGCTCTCTTTATATCAAAGAAGACATTTGGCATTTGTTTTTTAAGGATTGGCTAGCTTCACTTAGCATAATCTGCTCTACTGCCATCCATTTCCCTGCAAATTCTATGATTTTGTCATTTTTTAGTGCTGCATAATACTCCATTGTGTATAGATGCCACATTTTTTTTTTTATCCATTCATCTATTGAAGGGCATCTAGGTTGGTTCCACAGTCTAGCTATTGTGAATTGAGGACACATTGTTTTGACTACAAAATTTTGGACTGGTTCTGAATTTTATTCTATGACTACTTTTCTCCAATTGTGCTGCACCGTTTTCTTACTCTGCTTTTTCTGTTAATGCTCCGTTACATTCAATAACTATCTCCATTGCCTTTGACTGAATATTAACTGCTCAAATATTCAATCTTGTTAATTATACCATGAACTGACTCACCCTTGTGAGACAGAAAGTGATACTGTAAAACTGCTGAAATCTTAAGGTTAAAATCACTTTCAACTTCTTTTAAATGGCATTGAAAATTAGTAGTACAATATCAAAAATTCTAAGAAAGTAATATGTCAGAAATTGCATTGTAAGGAAAGTACAATAGAACATATATTTTTTAAAACAGATCATTTCTATTCTCTATAGGAATTCATAAAATCCCTTCAATTATATGACTTTTGGCTGGGATTATCTCCTGGAAATTATCACATGAAAGGTTTAAGGCTGGATGACATGATTGCTTCTTCTGCTTGGTAAGTCTCTATTCTTGTTGTATTTTTTATAGTTGGGTTTAAGTTTAGATATTTTTACCAGGAGCACTGTAAGTAGCAATTAGCAAGCTTTCATTGTGATTGCATCCTTGAAGATCCCTGATCTGTCATATTTACTTGATGTGTTTGGTCATACAGAAAATAACCACAAATGTATTCTCATTATATTGACAAATCACTAACAAAGTCATAGTAGCCAAATTTAGGGAAGTGTCTATAAATAGTTATTTTATCTAATGAAATTATGAAAGGCAACAAAATTCACTGGACCCTAACAAATACTTAATAATATGCTAAATTCTGGGATTCATAGATGTATGAAAGATCAATATATTACTTAAGTTACTTAAACATCAATCATATGTGAAGACTAACTTAATAATTCTAGGGATTAAAAAGACCATAATGTGATTAATGTTTCAGTTAGAAAAACATATTACCCAAAAATATTTTTGGATTTTTAGTTATAATTGACACATAAATTAGAAAATTTTAGGGAAAAACTAACCAGAAGAACGTTTCATTGTAAAGAATAATATGACTTTAGCATGGTATACTCTATATGTGTGTGTGTGTATAATGCAATATGTAATGCACATATATGTGTATGAAATAATTAATTGCATAATCTATTTAAGAAAGTAGTTACACTACTATAAATGGGATTATACATTGTATTTGTTATGCTTGTAATGGGGAAAACATTAAGGCTTTACATAAAAATGTGTCAAAATACAATTTGTATTGTATAATGTCTAAAATTTGGAAGCTGGCCACATTAAAGAAAGAAATCAGAGTGTTAACCTGCTGAACACTGTTGGGAGGCCAGCATTTATTCCAAATTCTTAGCTGAGGACACATCAAGTGGGGGCAGTTCAAGCAATTGCACTGGAATGCTCCCACTGACTCAATACTGAGATTTCTGAATACTCATCAGCCCAGCCACATAGCAAATAGAGATTTTTGTTTTGTTTTATGCCCTTGTTTTTTTTCCCCTTTAATTATAAATAGTAAGTATAGGAGTGTGGCTCAGAAAAATGAGATGACTCTCTCTTTGGTGGCTGGCAATGACAGGAAGAATAGGGGATAAGGTCTGCATAAATGAAAGGGAGACAAATATATATCTGAAAGGTCTCATTTGGCATTGAAGGCCTAAAGGTGAAGGTAATATGGGTGTTAGGAGAGGTGGAATCTTGTTTTGAAAAAGCAGAATATATGTGTGCTTGCAATTTTGCAACTGGAAAGGTATTTACAACGGAATGGAATACATGGTAGACATTTAAAATTATCAAGAAATAACACGGAAATAAAATGTATATAATCATCATATATATGATTTATGTATGTACATGTTATTTTTTGTTTTGTTCCTTTTCTTTTATTAGTGCATTATATTATACATAATCATTGGGTTCGTTTTGACAAAATCATACATGCATGCAATTTAAAGTACCTCATTTTAGTCCCTGGTTGCCCTCTTTCCCTTCTCTTCTCCCTCATCTTATTTTCTTTCTGCTGCTGTACTGGGTTCTTTTGGATAAACACCAAGGAGTGGGATAGCTGGATTATAGGGAAATTCCATTCCTAGATTTTTGTGGAATCTCAAAAAAAATCTTTCCAGGTGGTGACTAATTTTCAGTCCCAACAACAATGTCTGAGTATACTTTTTTTCTCACCTCTTCACCAGCATTTATTATGTTTTTGTATTTTTTGATAGCTGCCATTCTGACTGGAGTGAGATAAAATCTCAATGCAGTTTTTATTTGCACTTCCCCAATTGCTAGAGACGTTGCACATTTTTCATATATTTGCTGGCCATTTGTGTTTTTTCTTTTGAGAAATATCTGGTTAGTTCTCATTCTCATTTCCTGATTGTGTTATTTATTTTCTTGATTTTAACTTTTCTGAGTTCTTTATATAGTCTGGATATTAATCTCCTGTCAGAGGAGGAGCTGGCAAAGATTTTCTCCCATTTCTTTTTTTTTTTTTAAAGAGAGAGAGAGAGAGAGAGAGAGAGAGAGAGAGAGAGAATTTTTTAATATTTATTTTTTAGTTAGCAGACACAACATCTTTGTTTGTATGTGGTGCTGAGGATCAAACCCGGGCTGCACACATGCCAGGAGAGCGAGCTATCGCTTGAGCCACATCCCCAGCCCTTCTCCCATTTCTTAGGCTGTCTTTTCACACTCTTGTTTCCTTTGCTGTGCAGAAGTTTGATTTCTTTGCAGTATCTTTATTTTTTTATTGAAATAGTCTTTCATCTGTAATTGTTCTCTTAATTCATTCCTTAGTTCAGTAAACATTTAACTAATGAGTTTTTATAAGTCTTTCTCTGGAATTTTGTCCATTTCCATACCTATAATTCCTTTGTTAGGGGATTGTGAATTTGGGGAGGAAATTTGTTAGCCTATTTCCTCATGTTTTCAGAGGTCTTGAGTTTCCTCATCCATTGATTTATCCATGCATCCATCCATCCATCCATCTATTCCTTTTATACATGTGTCCTTTTGTTATCTTTTTGTTCTAGGGACTTCTCTGTTTTTTATGTACAAGGTGATGTCCAAGAGTAGGAACTGGAGTCCTCCTCTAGTTGTTCCTACTTGGGGCCTGGTTATTGATTTGGGATTTTTGTATCCCCTATTCTACATGTTTGAGTATTATTGAGGCTTGAGTGAGGGCAGCTCATGTTTGGGGTGAGTTTTGCTATTACTTGCCTGAGTTGTGAGCAGTGTTCAGCAGCGGGATCCTCTGTGAATTCAGAGTGGCACAATCACTTTCCAGTCAGTCTTAGAAGAAGGGGGAACCTAGAATAACAATAATGTTAGCAACAGATGTACAAGCCTTAAAATAAATGCCTGTGTCTACTTTAACACCTATGACACTAATTACCATCCCATATGATGGGATCAGCATTTAACACCAGCATCAACAATAAACAACCATGAACTAGACCATATATTAAACAGTTAATGTCTACTATGTCATCCACTTTATTATAGGGTAGGAATTACATAAACTTTATAATTCAGTCAAAGAGTGGAATTATAGTTTCTTAAGTAAAGAAAAAATAGGGTAGGATGGCAAGAGAATTTTAAAATATTTACAAAGTGAGCAGAAGAGAAGCAGGAGATGAGTAGCAGATGATGGCTATAAACATAGAGGAATAAAAGATAATTAAAGTAAAAAATTAATGAAAGAGAGGAAGAGGGAACAGGAAGATTTGGCTATTAGTAGGGGAAGAGAGTGCAGAAAGAGTAATAACAGGAATAAAAACCAAGATATACACAAACAAACAATTGAAAGATGAAAACAACTCAAACCCACATAAAATTTTACCTCATCAAAGTCAATCTGAAGCTAAATAATAATCAGGTAAAAAAGGAAAGTGATTAAAATGAAAGTAAAATGATGTGAATACACACAAAAACACCTTTGTGCAGTAGGAGCACACACACACAAACACACACCTCTGTGCAGTGGGAACACAAACACATACACGCCCACATATGCACACAGAATCATGCAGAATGAAAAAAGTAAAAAATAAAAAAATAAAATGAGATTAAAATTTAAAAAATAATAAAATCTAAAAAAAAAGAATTTAAATGAGTGCGATAGAAAAAAAGGATAAAAATTCTTAATGAGAAATAAAGGTCTATTTCCCATTGTGGTAGTCAAAAGTGTTAGCAAGGATGGATTTTTCATTGTCTAGGCTGTTGTGCCATTCTTTGCATTTATTTGTGGGCTCTGTAACCTTTGGGTCAATGGCTTGGGGTTGTATAGTCCAATGTCTTTGTGTTCACCAAGCTTCCAATCATTGTGACCAGGAGTCAAAGCTGGTTGTGTAGCTATCAGCTTCCCATCTCCCAGCATTGGATTGGATACACTGGGGAGTCGCAACAAGGGTGTCCACTAGTGGCAGGGCTAGTACAGTTCTAAATTTTGGAAGTTCCAGTAGTTGGGACTTAGTCTTGGCTGACCTTTGGAACTGAGCTATGAGTATTTGAGATTTGATCCACACCCTCTGTTGCCGAAGACAGTTATCTGTGCTGGACATCTAGGACTCAGAGGCCTCCATATGTTACATTTTTTTTAAGAGAGAGAGAGAGAGAGAGAGAGAGAGAGAGAGAATTTTTTAATATTTATTTTTTAGTTTTCGGTGGACACAACATCTTTGTTTGTATGTGGTGCTGAGGATTGAACCCGGGCCGCTCGCATGCCAGGCGAGCGCGCTACCGCTTGAGCCACATCCCCAGCCCTGTATATTACATTTTTAAGGTGTGGAGTGTAAACATCCATAGGTCTTACAATCACCACTATGGATGTGAGTTACCCAGGATCAGACCAGGAGTGCAGATGATCATTTTTGATCAGTTATTGGTGTCTTCCCAACAGCTCATATGGGACACTAGCAACCAAGACAACTCTCTCTCTCTCCTTGGTATCCCCCAAGCCTGAATTGCCTTAGGCTCAAATTTCTTTGTGCCTGTATTAGTCACTGTGGCCCCACAGTAGACAATTTCTCAGTCAGGCTGGCAACTTCTTTTGAGTTCCAGGTTTCCCACCTCTGCCTGCTGCCACTTAGCCATTTATTAATGATTCTTTCTGGCTGGTTACCTAGGTTCCTCCCAGACTCTCTACCCATTGTTCCAAAAATTTGGTTGCTTTTCACTCAACAACTTCACCCACCAACTCTGGGTCCATTAGGATCAGCCTCCCATGAAGAACACCTGCAGAAGTTGAGTCAGAACAAAGCATAACTCAGGCCCAAATAGTCAAATTAACTGCAGGGGATGGAGTGTGCATATTTATATTATTTACTACTTGAAACACAGATCCTCTCAGAAAAGGCTGTGGAAACAAAATAATAATAATAATAATAATAATAATAATAATAATAATAATAATAATAGTAACCCAAGATGTATAATGTAGGTTGTACTTAGTTCAGGGGCATTTAGAATGAGGCACCTTAATGATTTGAACAGGATCATTAAACACGTTGTTGCAATTGAAAGTAATAATTTTTAAAGCATATAAAAGCAAAGTAATCTAATTTTTAGGTACAGTAAGTTAATCAATCAATCAATGCATGCATGCTCACATATGTACATACAAAAAATAATTCATCCATCTCATCCATGGCTTGCTAGAGACTCCCATAACTCTGTATAGTCCTCTCAGCTATTTCAAGAGATCACAAAATGTCTCATTTAATTAGCATAGTCAAAGATTTTCCTTAGAAATCACAAAGATGATGCTAATTGAAGAATTAAGAGTATGAGTAAAACCTAGAAAATATATAGGCCGGACAATAGGTTTCTTTTCCTTATGTAGAAGTCAGGAGGTATCGCTGGCTCTGCAGAGATATACTCCATTCAGCCCTTCTATCTCCATGGTGAATATAAACACATTCATCTACTGGAACTTAGCAGCACTCCTTGTAAATCTTTGCAATGCATCTACGTTCATCTAGGGACTTTCAGATAGTATTTTAACATCCCATTCACTTACTGAGGATCCCCTGTGTGTTCATACCCATAAACCTAACTGTGAGAAATGTAATGATGCAAAAGCTACAATCTCATTCTTCAAGCTCTTGATATTAAAAATGATGTAACCACAGAATGTGTGTAGATATAGGAGTGACAAATAGTTTTGTTATGTGAAAATGCAAATTATCTAGGGTAACCAAGACTACAGGAAAGAAAATTGACAAGATAATATATTAAGTTTGTATTAAGTTACAAAATAAAAAAGTCAATACACAAAAAAAAAAAAAAAAAAAAAGGATCAGCCTCCCTCTCCATTCCATAGGTTTCCCCAGTGTCTCTCTCTCTCTCTCTCTCTCTCTCTCTCTCTCTCTATATATATATATATATATATATATATATATTTTTTTTTTTTTTAACTGTGCTTCCTCTCTGTCTGCCTGTCCTCTCCCTCCTCTCAGCCACCCCAGCAATTACCACCACCACTGGCACCAGCAAGCTGGCATGATTCTAACATATTGTTTCTTATATTATCTTCAAAGTTTCTGCTTTCTGTGTCTCTAATGGTTTCTTTGACCCTCCAGGGTTGAATTTCAATGAGTGCCCTTAGTTACCCACCTTGCTGAGCAATAGTCTTCCCACTTTGTAAATCTGGAGCTGAGAAACTGCTGGGAAGTGCACCATTCCTCTAATCTGCCATTTTTCTCTCTTATTTTTGTTCTTGGTGCTATTTTGGGGCTTGTATTTGGAAGGGGTGCTGATTAGCATCTGTAAGTTGTTACCACAAACAAAATTTTGTTCTTGAAAAATTAATCAATAAACTCATTTGATGGTCATTATTTATTGACCAGGAGACTGATGCTATATCTATTCAAAATATAATGTTTTTAATTTACAAATTTGTTTTTCATGTATCATCCTCAATCACTAATCCAGTTTTTATGAATTGTTATTTAGTTGGAATTTCAGAGTAAAATCTCTAAAACTGCCTAGAACTAAATGTCACTTGGAGATGATGTTGATATTCAGGTATTGTACGTTAGATTAATTTCTGGGTTTGATGATTACAAAGAACACTTGAGACAAAATTTACTACTGGGCTAGTTAGACTAGAGAATCTTATGGAAGAGCATTATTTTAAATCATATTAGATGTGAAGAGGTGCTAAGTCTGGAATTAAATGACAGTAAATATTCCAGATGTGGGAAAGTAGAGAAGGCAGAGAGAAATAAAACAATATTTCATATTGTATATGTGTCAATTAAATGATTAACTTGATATTCTGAACTTTAACATAGATTTACCTGAGATAAAGCTGACCTACTGGTAATAATGTTATATTGTAAAAATCATTTTTTTCTGTGAAAGTGTTTTAAATATTTGACTTGCCAAGTGTAATTTCTTTTTCTTTTCCTTTTTTTCAGGTTTAAAAATAACATAAGTGACTTAAATAATAAATATTGTGGATTTATATATAATTCCTATGTTTATTATGCTTCCTGCTCTTTTATGAAAAACTTTATGTGTGAGAAGATGGCCAATTCAGTGAAGACTGAAAGTATATTAATGAGTGAAGATCCAGATGGAAGAATGTAGTCAGTGCAATTATTTTGCTTCAGCTAATATCCTGAAATTGATAGGACCTTTGGGCAGCATGCATCACCTAGATAACACAAGTTAGATAAAGATGATGTAACTAAATTGCTGCCTCTCTCCTAGTATTTATGCCATCAGACTTTCTTCTTTTGCCTCATTTGCTGAGTGTAAGGAATCTAAAATCCTATCTTCTCATGTACATACAGTCCAGATATTGTTCAGCATAAAGACAGTGTTTCTGGTAATATAGGAATCTGAAACTAATATTTTCCTGCTTTTCCAGAAATAAACCAGGGAAATTTCTGTCTTCTAGAAAATCAGAGAAAATTAATATAGGAATAAATATAACAATACAATATGAAGAATTTTGATTTATCCTAGTAATGTGGATTAATTAAGCATGTAAAAATGATAGAGCAAAAACCATATAGTTTTAATATGTGTACAAAAAGTATTTGTTGATATACAATATGCAATTATAGAAAATCTTCTCAGAAAACTAGAAGAATATTTAAAGAGGGTTGAAATAAAACCAAACTTTGAACAAACAAAAAAACTCTAATAATTTAATAAACCCTGTTGTCTATTAGAGGTCCTCAGTGGAATAAAGCAAGGAAAAGAAGTATAAAATAATGGAAGAGAGAGAAATAAAACATTTTTATTTGTAAATAATATAATTATGCATATAAAAACAATGATTTATAAGCTATTAGAGTAAATAATGTATCAAGGTCAGTGGATAAAATCTTACCATATAAAAATCAATCATATTTTTATGTATTATGTATTCTGTTTGTATTTGTATGTATTATGTATTATCATTGAACAAGTAGTGATAAAATTTTAAATTTAATAACACTTATAATGCCACACAAAAATATAAAATAATTATCTAGTAAAAATGTAGAAAACCTTCATGTGCAAAAGTTTTGTGCAATTTCCCCCTTTGTCTCCCTTTCCTAGGGATCTCTATATCCAATGACTGATAAACATTCCAGCACAGTAAACTTGTACACTTTCTCCAACATGGTCCATTTCAGTTTCAGAAGTTTACAGTCAATTATTTTATTAAGAATACATCACTGATCAATTTCTCCCTTTGTCCAACTTTGCTTCTTTTCCTTCTGCCCAGGTAGGGTCCAGACACATACGTTCCATATTAAACCTGCAAGCTAACTTCTGTCAAGGGGTGTTTTGCAGAGAACCAAACCTGCAAAAATAGGTAGCAAGAATTATCCAAGAAAACAGATGCTAAGATGTAATTTGGGGCTTAAATCACCAGCTGCCCACTAGCAATGAGAAATAAATCACTGCTGTTAAAAAGAAAAGATCACAAAGGCACAAACATGGTATAATTGTTAAAATCTTCACAAGTGGTGAAAACCTGGAATGACAAACCAGTGGAGTCAAGATTACTTTAGGAAAATGTATCAGATATTTGAGAAATATGGGTAGAATAAAAACAATAAGGATAGTGGAATTAGGCATTTGTTGGCAATCTCAATTGACTCTTCAGAAAAAATAACAGGGAAATCTAAAAGTGAATAATCAAGGAAAAAAAGCTAAGTGTGAATACTGATAGGTATTAAATGGAAAGGTTCACATTTCATTCAATTTGAAGGCAGAAAAAATAGGGACTAGTCTTAGGACTTTGTAATAAGACAGAGGGGACAGAAATCCAAAGAAAGTTAAAATTTTAAACTGGGAAAGCCTGTTTTGCCAGAATCAGGGTCCTGATTGAGAAAGCATAAAAGGAAGACATCTTTGGATGATAACTCCCCAAATCTTGATTCACATATTTTTCTGAGACCTCAGAAGTGACCCACTTCTCCCAATTAAAAGCTAACACACTCTCTTTGATTAAAATATGGTATAGGTTTCCAGTTATAAGTCAAATTGCATGAGCTTCATTCACCCATTCTCCTGTCCACAGGGCAAATAAAAAGATAACCTGGCTAAACACATGAGTTGTCTCATAAAAAAAGAGATTTTGCACCTATCTATTATGTCGCAGCAAGATAGAGAGCATACATCTGATGCGACTTTCTAAATGTTAGACCAGGTTGGTGGGGAAAGTGACACAAAATTGAATAAGGGAATTTTACTAATCTAGGACCACTTTCTTGGAATAGTGAATTTAGTAACCCAAAAAGGACTTTAATAAATGGTGCAAACACTCTGACAGGAAGCTTTCAAAAAATGTAGAGAAATAAATGGCCCACACCAAATTAAGTAGTAGTACCACATTTGCTTTGGCAGGAAAAAAGAGAATAAAAATTTCAAAGATGTGGGAATATTAGAGTGGGTACTATCATAAAATAATAGTTTTCTTCAGCCAATCAAAGGACAATATTCCTTAGGAAGCAATAATATATATGCTGGTAAGAGGGTCACAATATCCTTAAGAAGCTCACCAGTGATTCCTTTGATTGTCAGTGATGGTAACAATCGAAGTAATTACATAACTGAGTTAATTGATAGCAAAGTTGTTGATAGTACACTGAAACTGTAGAGTGCAAATCATTGTTCATCTAGTCTATGACATCACACTAATAAGGCTGTACTAATAAGATTTTCATTTTATTCAGCAGAAACATTGTTTTCCTCATTATAGATATTGTATATATTTTATTACATTTAATTAATATCTATTTTTTTGGTTTGAGGATGCTCAAATAAATGATGTTGTGCTCAGTTTCAAATTGCACTCTTCTACTTGTTCATTACTGATATATTGGAAAGGAATTAACTTTTGTATATTAACCTTGTGTTGTGCAACTTTAATACTGTTGCTTATGTGTTCCATGAGTTATTTTGTATTTGTTTGTTTCCTTTTCTTGATTCTCTTTGTATTTTGTATGTAAACAATTAGGTGATCTGCAAACATTTTCATTTATTCCTTCCCAATAAATATATCTTTTATTTATTTTTCTTGTCTTATTGTATTATCTAGTATTTGCAGTATAATGTTGCAAAGGAATAATTAGAAGGAACATCTTTGTGGAAAAGTTTTTAGTATCTCATAATTAACTATGATGTTATCTGTAGATATTCTCCATTAAATTGGAAAAGCCCCCCCCCCCCATTTCTAGTTTATTGGATATTTTTATCATGAATGGGTATTGGATTTTGTAAAATTCCTTTACATCTACTGATATAATCATGTGATTTGTCTTCTTTAGCCTGTTGATGTTCTGGATTACACTAATTGATTTTAGAACACTGAACCAGCCTTGCAAACCTCAGCTAATCTCACTTGGCCATGATGTTTAATTCTCTTTATACATTATTGGATTTTGTTAGCTAATATTTTGTTAAGGACTTTTCATCTATGCTTATGAGATATATTGTTTTATAGTTCTCTTGTCATAACTTCATTAGGTTTTACCATTAGGGTAATGCTAGGATGAATTTGAATAGAATAGTTTCTCTTTTGAAAGAGATTATAGAAAATTGATATGATTTTTAAATCCATCTGATCTTGGTGGTTTATGCTCCAGAAACTTATAAAATGTGTTCATTTTTAAAAATTGATGTAGGCCTATTTAGGTTGTCTATTTTTCTTGTTTATGTTGACTGATTCTGTCTTTTAAAGGATTGATCCAAATTGATTCATTTTTATCTCACTTATCAAATTAGTAATTTGAGTCCTCTTTTTCTTAGTCTGGCTAAAGGCTTATTGATTTTATTTACCTTTTCAAATAATTTTGGGTTTTATGGATTTTTTCTATTTATTTCCTACTTTCAATTTTATTTATTTGTTTAAATTTTTATTTATCTTCTTCTGCTTATTTTGGATTTATTTTGCTCTTCCTTTTCTAGTTTCCTAAGGTAAAGAATAGATTATTTATTTGGGATCCGTCTTATTTTCAATATGCACATTCATTGTTATAAAATTTCCTCTAAGCACTGCTTTGTATCTATCCCACATATTTTAATAAGTTGTATTCTCATTTTCATCTAGTTCAAAATATTTTAAACTTTTCTTAGGATTTCTCCTTTGAATAAGAAACAGTTTGGGCTGTACATTGAGAATCAAGAGTCCACAAAGAGACTCACATATAAAATAGCCTGATTTATTTTTTGAAAAAGCAACTTGTAGTGGAAAATAGTGGTCTTTTAAATAAATGGATCCAAATCAACTGGATATCTGCATAGAATAAAGAGGAGCTTGCTATCTACCATATACATAAATGTTTGTTGAAATTGCATTATACAATTAAGCACAAAAATACAAAATATAGTTTCTAGTAGAAAACATGGAGGATATTTTTGTGGTTTTATGGTGAACTAAGAGTTCACCAACAAGACTTCACAAACATTGATAATAAAGACAGGAAAATTAGACTTCATTAAAAATAAGAGCACCACTAACAGATGAAAAATGAAACCAGGTCTTAGAAAGGATGTCTGCTGGGTTTGTACTAATATAACATATGCATATGCACATTTATATAGGCATTATTGTCACAATATGTAATTAACCCCTACTAATCAATAATAAAACATTCTAATTAAAAAACAGGCAAAAAGACCTACAGAGGAAATTCATGAGAAAGGATACTCAAATGTCCTGAAAGTATAAGAAAGGTACTTAACATTGTAGTTCACTAGAAGAAAAAAAAAAGTCAAAATACAGTGAATGGGGTTTCTAATTGTTCTAGTTCTTCACTAAATATTATTATAAATGAAAATAAATCATAGAAAGTATAAGTTATAAAAAATTGTAGCCACACTACTGTCCTGTAAATCATTAGAACTTATTCCTTCTAACTAGAAGTGATAAATGTTTAGGCTATCGATGTTGTTTACACTGATTTGGTCAGAATGGCTTAAATTAAATATATTTCCTAGAATCCTTTTTCTTGTTTGATTTCTAATCATATTTGTCCAATAAAGGGAACTCTTGAAATAACTGGAAGACAAAATTAAAGGAGAGGTCTTTATTCTCAGAAGAGTGCTATAGTCAAGCAGGATGACAGGTAGATGCTGTTGTACCTGTTAGGCCTTAGAGCATCATATACATCCTTCTCCTTCACATCCAGCTCATCTTGCTGACTTCTTGCCTGTCAGTGGGCAGTAATCCTGGCTCTATCAACAGATATACTGTAGTGGTTCTGCAAAGGAACACTTTACACAGAAGCAATGATTCCATAAAGACAATGATTGATGAAGAGAAGTAGTGCTCCACAGAGGCAATTGCTTCCACAGAGGAAAAAGTTTCTATGTAGAGACTGGTTTCTACCAAAAGGGGTGGATTCCACAGCCCTCTCCAAATGGTCCTTCTTTCTAGTCTCAATTTGAAGCTCTGATGAACATAGCTACTTGGAATTTTTCTCCTTCCCGATTACAGTAGAATGAAAATGACAACCCAAAGATATCAATGCCTAATTCATGGAACAAAATCGACAGACCCTTAGCCATGCTAGCGAAGAGAAGAAGAGAGAGAACTCAAATTACTAACATACGGGATGAAAGAGGCAATATCACAACAGACACTTCAGAAATACAGAAGATAATCAAAAATTATTTTGAATCCTTATACTCCAATAAATTAGAAGATAGTGAAGGCATAGATAAATTTCTTAAGTCATATGATCTGCCCAGATTGAGTCAGGAGGATATAGACAACCTAAACAGACCAATATCAATTGAGGAAATAGAAGAAACCATCAAAAGACTACCAACTAAGAAAAGCCCAGGACCGGATGGGTATACAGCAGAGTTTTACAAAACCTTTAAAGAGGAACTAATACCAATACTTTTCAAGCTACTTCGGGAAATAGAAAAAGAGGGAGAACTTCCAAATTCATTCTACGAGGCCAACATCACCCTGATACCTAAACCAGACAAAGACACTTCAAAGAAAGAAAACTACAGACCAATATCTCTAATGAACCTAGATGCAAAAATCCTCAATAAAATTCTGGCCACTCGGATACAAAAACTTATCAAAAAAATTGTGCACCATGATCAAGTAGGATTCATCCCTGGGATGCAAGGCTGGTTCAATATACGGAAATCAATAAATGTTATTCACCACATCAATAGACTTAAAAATAAGAATCATATGATCATCTTGATAGATGCGGAAAAAGCATTTGACAAAGTACAGCATCCCTTTATGTTCAAAACTCTAGAAAAACTAGGGATAACAGGAACATACCTCAATATTGTAAAAGCAATCTATGCTAAGCCTCAGGCTAGCATCATTCTGAATGGAGAAAAATTGAAGGCATTCCCTCTAAAATCTGGAACAAGACAGGGATGCCCTCTCTCACCACTTCTGTTCAACATAGTTCTCGAAACACTGGCCAGAGCAATTAGACAGACGAAAGAAATTAAAGGCATCAAAATAGGAAAAGAAGAACTTAAATTATCACTGTTTGCAGATGACATGATTCTATACCTAGCAGACCCAAAAGGGTCTACAAAGAAACTATTAGAGCTAATAAATGAATTCAGCAAAGTGGCAGGATATAAAATCAACACGCATAAATCAAAGGCATTCCTGTATATCAGCGACAAATCCTCTGAAATGGAAATGAGGACAACCACTCCATTCACAATATCTTCAAAAAAAATAAAATACTTGGGAATCAACCTAACAAAAGAGGTGAAAGACTTATACAATGAAAACTACAGAACCCTAAAGAGAGAAATAGAAGAAGATCTTAGAAGATGGAAAAATATACCCTGTTCATGGATAGGCAGAACTAACATCATCAAAATGGCGATATTACCAAAAGTTCTCTATAGGTTTAATGCAATGCCAATCAAAATCCCAACGGCATTTCTTGTAGAAATAGAGAAAGCAATCATGAAATTCATATGGAAAAACAAAAGACCCAGAATAGCAAAAACAATGCTAAGCAGGAAGTGTGAATCAGGCGGTATAGTGATACCAGACTTCAAACTATACTACAGAGCAATAGTAACAAAAACAGCATGGTACTGGTACCAAAACAGGCGGGTGGACCAATGGTACAGAATAGAGGACACAGAAACCAATCCACAAAACTACAACTACCTTATATTTGATAAAGGGGCTAAAAGCATGCAATGGAGGAAGGATAGCATCTTCAACAAATGGTGCTGGGAAAACTGGAAATCCATATGCAACAAAATGAAACTGAATCCCTTTCTCTCGCCATGCACAAAAGTTAATTCAAAATGGATCAAGGAGCTTGATATCAAATCAGAGACACGCCGTCTGATAGAAGAAAAAGTTGGCTACGATCTACATACTGTGGGGTCGGGCTCCAAATTTCTCAATAGGACACCCATAGCACAAAAGCTAATAACTAGATTCAACAAATGGGACTTACTCAAACTAAAAAGTTTTTTCTCAGCAAAAGATACAATAAGAGAGGTAAATAGAGAGCCTACATCCTGGGAACAAATCTTTACTCCTCACACTTCAGATAGAGCCCTAATATCCAGAGTATACAAAGAACTCAAAAAATTAGACAATAAGAGAACAAACAACCCAATCAACAAATGGGCCAAGGACCTGAACAGACACTTCTCAGAGGAGGACATACAATCAATCAACAAGTACATGAAAAAATGCTCACCATCTCTAGCAGTCAGAGAAATGCAAATCAAAACCACCCTAAGATACCATCTCACTCCAGTTAGATTGGCAGCCATTATGAAGTCAAACAACAACAAGTGCTGGCGAGGATGTGGGGAAAAGGGTACACTTGTACATTGCTGGTGGGACTGCAAATTGGTGCAGCCAATTTGGAAAGCAGTATGGAGATTTCTTGGAAAGCTGGGAATGGAGCCACCATTTGACCCAGCTATTCCCCTTCTCGGTCTATTCCCTAAAGACCTAAAAAGAGCATGCTACAGGGACACTGCTACATCGATGTTCATAGCAGCACAATTCACAATAGCTAGACTGTGGAACCAACCTAGATG